GGGGGGGGGGGGGGGGGGGGGGGGGGGGTCGGGGGCCCCCCCCCCCCCCCCCCCCGTTACCGTCACAGACGGGGCAGCAGCGGCCCTCGGGGTGGAAGGGGTAGGAGCACACGATGGCACATTCCAGAGGCGAGCAGGCCACCGATCCCAGCTGCAAGAGACCGGAAAGACCCCGTTAGGAAACCCCGGCAACGCCGCCGGAGCTTTTTTTGTTTTGTTTTGTTTTTTTGTTTTTTCCTGCAACGGAGTTAAAAATCCCGGGATCAGCCCGTGGAGCCGGAGCCCCGAAAGCTGCGGGCATGCCCGGCCCGGCCCTCACCAGGCAGATGCAGCTGAGACACGGATCCAGCTCCGACGGGAAGGTCTCGTTGTTGGAGAACACCCGCCCCATGTAGGTGCAGCCTGCGGGCAGAGCGGCTCGCGTGGGGCCCCGGGAGGCTCGGAATTCCCGGGCCGGGAATTCCAGGGCCTCCTCACCTGCGGAGCAGTCGGGGCAGCACTGCCCGGGGATCCGGATGGGATAGGGACAGGTCTCCAGGCATTCCGTGCGCCGGCAGCTCACGGAGCCGTCTGCCTGCGGGCGGGAACACCTCCACAGACACCTCGGCATTCCCGAGCCCGCCGGGGGGTCCGCGGGCATCCCGAGGGCAGGAATGGGGAGCGGGGACGGGGACAGGCAGCAGGAGGGAAGCAGAGCAGGTTCTCATTCACCTGGCAGATGCATAACTCACAGGGATCGCCCGGAGACCAGAGCTGTCCCACGGGAAACTGCACGCCGTTGTCCTCCAGGAAGCAACCTGGGAAGGCTCCCTGTGCCCAGCTGGCCCCTAAAATCCACCCTCCCCTACACTCCCCCCTCCCTGGGCCCGGGGAGTCCCAGTTTCCCACCCTCCCCATCCCCACGTATTCCCACATCCCATCCCCTCGGCCCCTGGGCTGTCCCCCACATCCCTCTCTCCCAGTCCCTCCATCCTGTCCTCAGTGTCCCCCAGCTGTTCCCCACATCCCACCCTCTCCATCCCCAAATATCCCCACAGCCCTCCCACCTTTCCCATCCTCAAGTGTCCCCCACAACTTGTCCCCCACATTCCAACCCCTTTTTTCCCCCCCAGCTGTTCCCCACATCCCACTGTCCCCTGTCTCCAGCTGGCCCCCTTATCCCACCCTCCCCGTTCCCGGGTGTATCCCTGTCCCGACTGACCGGCGGGGGCCGGGGGGTCCCGGCAGGAGGAGCAGCACTGCCCGGGGCGCAGGAGCCGCTGGTGCTGGGGGCAGTCCAGGATGGGACAGGGAGCGAAGGAACATTCCACCTCCCCGCCCTGGGAACGTGGGAATGTGTCACCGGGTGTCCCCGCATCCAGCCCCAGCCTCGAGAGAGCCGGGATACCCACAGGGTCCCTGGGGACCCTCATTGCTGGGGTGTCCCATCCCTGGGGCTCCTCATCCCGCGGGATCCCCATCCCCGGGGTTTCCCCACCTGGCAGACACAGGTGGTGCATCCGTCCCCGTCCGGGCTGAACCGGGCCCCGTGCGCGTACGTGCGGCCCCGGAAACTGCACTTGGCTGGGAAAGGCGGAGGCAGGAGGGCCGGAGATCCAAGCGTGGATCCTCCCGAACCCTCATCCCAGCCCAGGGGTCCCCACAGCCCCGGGTTGGGGGTCTCACCTGGATGGCAGGGGCTGGGGCAGGAGCCTGCGGGGCATTCCGGGGAAAGGCAGGAGACGTTGCCGGCCTGTGGATGGAGGTGGGATGAGGGTCCCCAAGGCTGGGAGGTCCCCAGGGCTCCGGGGGAATTCTCCCACCCCGATCCAGCTCACCAAGCAGATGCAGACGGAGCAATTCCCATCGGATGGGGAGAAGACATCGCCCTCTGCTCTGGCCACCCCCTCGTGGAGGCACCCTGTGATCCAGGGGGGATCAGGGAGGGATATCCCGGGAATTGCGGGGTCGGGGGGGCCGGGACTCACCTGTGCAGGTGGGGCAGCACCCCCCGGCCGGAGCGGGAAGCGGGTGGGAGCAGGGAATGGAGCAGCTCACGGCGTCACACAGGACTCGTCCCTCCTGCCAGGACACGCATGGCTCATCCCAGGCCGGGATGGTGCCGAGGGAAGGTGTGGGATGGTGGGATTCTCACCTGGCAGGTGCAGCTCCGGCATCCCGGCTCTGTCCAGCGAGCGCCGGGCTCCCGGGAAACCCCGCGGTGCCGACAGCGAGGGGACGGTGGGATGGAGGTACCGGGAGACAGGGACGGAGAAGAGGGTGGGAATTGGGTCCCGGGAGCTGCCACAGGGATGTGGGGAGAGGGGGAGCCCCTCGGGAGCAGGTGGGAGCCGGGAGGGAGCAGGACGAGGGTGGGCGGGTGCTGCAGGGATTGCAGGATGGGTGACGGGGCCAGGATGGCTTTGGGATACCCTGGGAAGGAATCCAGGAAGGAAGAGACATCACTTGGGGTAGGCAAGGAGCGGGAGCGTCCTGCTCCACTCTCCCAGCCCGGAGAAGGACACGGATACCTTCGCAGGACACCCTGTCCGTGCTGAGCCGGTATCCGGGGCGGCAGGAGCAGCGGAAGCTCCCGGGAATGTTGTGGCAGCTGTGCTGGCAGGAGCGGCGCGTTCCCGGCCGCCGGCATTCATCCACATCTGCGGGAAAAGGGAATGTGGCAGGAGGTGTCACACCCCGGGATGTGACCCAGGGAGGAGCCCGGAGCGCTGGGATGTGCTCCCAGCACGGCCTAGGCAGGGACAGGGATAAGGTGGCAGCACTGGGATCGTGGGCTCATGGACAACTGCGTCCCTTGGGATTCAGGGCATGGAGAGGGATGAGGGTCTGGCACAGCGCTCAGGGGCTCATGGCCACCTGCATCCCCTGGGATTCATGGCATGGGGAGGGAAGGGGGTCTGGTGTGGTGTCCACAGGCTCATGGCCACCTGCATCCCTTGGGGATTCATGTCCCGGAGCGGGAAGGGCCCCATCCCGGCACTCACCCAGGCAGGAATGCCGGTTCCCGTGGAGTTGGTATCCGGGCCGGCAGGAGCAGCGGTAGCTCCCGACACTGTTCTCGCAGCGGTGCTGGCACGGCGTGGCCTGGCACTCGTCCATGTCTGGGAGGGGGGCGGGATGAGGGTCAGGATCCCTCGGCATTCCCGGCCTCCCCTCCGGCCCCCCGCGCACCGCGGCAGCTGCGCCGATCCGTGGAGAGCTCCCGGCCGGAGCCGCACTGGCACACGAATCCGCCCTCCGTGTTCACGCACGGCCCCTCGCAGGCCCCGCTCCGGCACTCGTCGATGTCTGGGGGGACACCGGGAATGCCTGGGTTTGGGATGCGGGACCTCTGGCTGCCCGCTCCCTCCGGGATATTCCCGCTCCCGCTCACCGGTGCAGCGGACGCCGTTGGGAGTCTCCGCCATGGAGAAGCCAATGGGACACACGCGGGCAACCTCCTGGCAGCCGCCGTGGTTACAGGACAGGTCACAGCCGTACTCCCCGCACGTTCCCGGCGGATCTGGGGGGTGGATGTGGGGTCAACCGGGCACCGGGGACACCCCGGGAGCACCCAGCTCCCACCCCAATCCAAGGACGCCTCAGGGATGGGGACAGTGCTTGGAATGCTGCAAGCGGAGGGGACAGGGAGCAACGGGCCCTGCCAGGATGGGGCCACCTCCATCCCTTGGGATTTGGGGCGTGGAGAGGGAAGGGGGCACATGGCCACCTCCATCTCCTGGGATAAGTGGTGTGGAGAGGGAAGGGAGTCTGGCACAGTATTTGCAGGATCATGGCCACCTCCATCCCTTGGGATTTGTGGCCTGGAGAGGGAAGGGGGTCCAGCCTGACGTCCGTGGAACTCACAGCCCCCCCATCCCTTGGGACGTACCTGGGCAGGTGATTCCCTGCTCCCCATCCGGGCACAGGCAGAGGTTGGGAGCGACGCAGGAGCCGCCGCCGCAGCCGAAGGAGCAGAGCGCTGCGGGAATGGGAACGGGAGCTGTGGGAATGGGAGCGGGGACCCCCCGCCCGCCCCCCCGGCTGCCCCTACTCACGCAGGGTGCACTTCCCGCTGCCCGGGGACAGCATCCAGCCGGGACAACATCCGCTGCCGGAGCCCGGGAAGCAAACGTGGGGCCCCCCGCGGCGCCTGCGGGACACCGGAGCCTGAGGCCACCCTGTCCCCATCCCTCCCGGATGGAGCCAAGGGCCTGGGAATGCCAGGACGTGCCCATGGGAAGCAGAGCATGGCTTGGATCAGGAGGAGGCAGGAAAGGCAGGGGGCCGGGGGCAGAGGGGTCCCAAAAGAAGGTGGGATAGGGAGGGAGGATTGTGTCCCAGCCATCCCAAATATCCCAGTCCGGGCAGCAGGACAGGGATGCAGGGAGCAGGACAGGGGTGGGGGGAGCAGAACAGGGATGCGGGGAGAAAGACAGGGATGCAGGGAGCAGGACAAGGATGAGGGGAGCAGGACAAGGATGAGGGGAGCAGGACAGGGATGCAGGGAGCAGGACAGGGACGCAGGGAGCAGGACAGGGACGCAGGGAGCAGGACAGGGACGCAGGGAGAAGGACAGAGATGATGGAAGCAGGACAGGGGTGGGGGGAGAAGGACAGGGATGCAGGGAGAAGGACAGGGATGCGGGGAGCAGGACAGGGATGAGGGGAGCAGGACAGGGATGCGGGGAGCAGGACAGGGATGCGGGGAGCAGGACAGGGATGCGGGGAGCAGGACAGGGATGCGGGGAGCAGGACAGGGATGCGGGGAGCAGGACAAGGATGAGGGGAGCAGGACAAGGATGAGGGGAGCAGGACAAGGATGAGGGGAGCAGGACAGGGACGCAGGGAGCAGGACAGGGATGCAGGGAGCAGGACAGGGATGCAGGGAGCAGGGTCATGCTCTCCGGGACCTGGCAAGAGGGAGGGAATTGCGGGGTCCCAGCCTGTCCAGGCAGCAGAACGCAGGGATGGCTGGAGCTCGGGACGCTGCCCATTCCAGGTGCAGCTGGAAAAGGGATCAGGAAAAGGGGAGGGGGGGACACAGCTCTACCTCTCCACGGAAAAGCTTCCCGGCTTCTTCCTCCCGGGATACCCCCTGGACTGGCCGCTGGAGAGGAGCAGGGACACACAGGCAGCCTGGAAGAGCAGCTCCACCAACATGACAGGCGGCTCCAGCACTTCCCGGCTCCCGCCTTCCCGCCTCCCTTCCCGCTGGCCCTCGGCCCTGCTCCTCCTCCTCCCGCCGAGCCGGGAACAATGCGGGATCGGCGCGGGATTGGAGCGGGGATTGGAGCGGGGCGGGAGCGGCGCCAGCGGCTCCCACCCACCCCCCAAACCCACGGCGGCTCCGGGATCATCCCGACTTTGTCCCGCTCGCCCGGGAGGAGTGGAGTCAGCCCAGACATTCCCGCGGTGGCTCCGGGATAGAGAAGGGGGTCCCCAAGGCGTTGGGAAGCAACAGGGAACGTATCCCCCTTTTCCCTCCTTTCCCACATCTGGCAAAGCTCCGGCCTGGCCTCTTCCCACCCCTCCTCCTCCTCCTTCTCCTTCTCCTGGAGGCCTTCCCAGCCCTGCACACGGCGGATAAAGGGGCCAAAGCGGAGCTGGGATAGTGGGATGCATCCCAAAGGGAGAGGGGGGCTGTGGGACCCCCCATTTCAGGCTCTCATCCAACTCCCCTTGGCCCCTCATCCCCATCCTGGAGCTGGGAATGAAGCAAAGGTCACAGGCAGGTAAATGATTGATCCCGGGGAGCAAAGGGCACTGTGGCCTCCAAAATTCCCAATTCAGCATGGATTTTCCCTCACAACCCTGCCCAAGGGTCAGGATCACCCAGGCAAGACACAGCAATTCCCGACTGGAGCTGCTGGGAGGGGGTCCCCGCTGGAATAAGGGATGCAGGAGCCACGGTGCTGCCACGGCAAGGTCCTTTCCTAGAGGAATGTGATCCCAAATCCCAGCTCCTGGCCCTGGAAGCGGCTCCATGGTCCTGGAAAGGGATAAATCCTGATCCAGCCCCGGCGCATGCAGTGCTTTTATCCCCCAAAAAAGGAGGGTGCCAGCATTCCACTGGCACCAGTTTTGCTGGGAAAGGGATAGCACTTCAAAGATCCGCTCCCTGGGCCTCCCAGATTTTGGGAACGAGCTGCTCCAGGCAGGTAAACAAAGCCTGAGGGAATAAAACCAGGAACAGAGTCCAGGGTCAGCTCCCGCTCCCTCCTGCTCCGGGAAGAGATGTCCAAATATAGCCTTCTCCCTGCGGCCGCCTCGGAGAATCCAGGATGGAAGTGGGAGCCAGGGATGCTTCCAGCACGAGCTGGAGCTCAGGGAGAGAAGGATTTGGGGAAAACCTGCCCAGAATGGGGTTTGCAGGGGTTAACCTGGAGTTATGGGGAGATCCAGGCTAGGGAGAGCACGGCAAGCTCCAGGATAACCCCCAAATTCCATGAAGAAGAAGGTGGGAGAGCAGGAGGAGGATTATTAATGAGCAGCCAGAGGATGGAAAATCCAGGTTTCCCTAAAAAGTGAGCCAAATATCTGCCTCCCAGGGAATTCCCAGTGCTGCTGGCAACCAGGCAAGGAGCTAAAATTCCCTACAAATCCCAGAAAAATGCACTTGGAAAACAGGGGTTCCCAAGGTCCCCCAGGCGAGGCCACGGCTGTGATTCCTCAGGACACGGATCTCTCCTCTTGGACTACTTTATTTGGTAAAACTCCGCAATCAACAAGAGCTTGAGCTTCCCAGAATTCCCTCCCTGAGCGAGGAATGGATCCTGTGGAGAGTTATCCCGCTCGGCTGCTCCTCCAGCTTCGACTCCTCTTCCTCAATAAAACACAAGGAATCCAAAAAAAGAAAAAAAAAAAGGGATCAAAAGCCAAAAAAATGAGTCAAATCTACCAAAGACACCAGGGAAGAGGGAATGGCATCCCAGTGGATCACCCAAGGGAAGGGACAGTTCCGGGCACAGCCGAGTCCACAGGATCCATGAATCCCAGCGGGAAGCGATCGACACCCCCCCCAAATTCCTAACAAGCTGCTCTTCCTTGGGAGATTCCGGCCCCTCCGGTGTTGGGCACGGCTGGGGAAGGATTCCCCGGCTCCGGGGGGGAGGGAATGATCCCGAATCCTGCTAATGGATCCGGGTGAGCTCCTCCACGATCTTGATCAGGTCGTCCACAGTGGCTTCCCGCTTCATCCCGCTGCCGTCGTCGATCTGCGCGGGAAGGGAAAGGCGTCGGAGGCGTTCCCAGACCACCCAGGAAGGCGTGGATTTAGGGTTTCCCAGGGAGGCTGTGGCCTCCCTATCCCTGGAAGTGCTCCAGGCCAGGTTGGAGCAACCTGGGATAGGTGTCGGAGCTGGAGCTGGACGGGCTCGAGGGTCCCTTTTAACCCAAAGCTTTCCATGGATCTACGATTCCGTGACTTACCGAGCCTGGATTCCTGACTCCCAAGGCCACGTCCCCGAACTCACCTGCAGGTTTGCCACCACTTCCTGCATCTTGGGCCTGCTGATATCCAGGAAACTCTCGATCAGGTCCCCGTCGATGAATCCCGTGGCCGGCTCCGTCTTCCGCTCCGTGTGGAACGACCTCCAGGTGCCAGATCCGTCAAGGAGCCAAATCCCCCGGGAACAACTCCTTTGTGGTGCCCGTGGCAGTGCTGGGTTAATGGCTGCGCCCCCTCACCTCGGAGGGCTTTTCCAACCTTAATTCCACGGCTGCCCAAACCCGATCCCATCGAGCGAGCCCCCCCCCCCCCGCCTGGAGCAGGTTCCGGGCTGGAATCCCAAAGGATATAAGGAATGCTCGATCTTCCCCACGCTCTTGATGACTTTGTTGAGCCTGTTCTGCATGTCCAGGAGCAGGTTGTACCAACTCTCCGACAGCGATGTCACCAGCCCTGCGACGGGAACACCGGGAATACTGGGAATTGGATGGGCCTTCGGGTCCCTTCCCGCCCGACCCATTCCAGGATTCCCCGGGGATGCTCCTCACCGATCATCCCGTTGACGGTGCCGAAGAGGACGGAGCCCTGGGTGGGCGTGGAAGTCTCTCCCAGGTTTTGCATGACCAGGGATCCGTGGCAGAAGACGTTGACGAATTCCCCGAGGTGGGACAATCCCACTTCCTGCAGGTGCTGCCGCTCCTCGTCCGTCGTGGCCGCGCTGGAATTCCAAACACTCGGGATGGGGGGACTCCAGAGCTTCCCCTGCTCCCAAGAGGGGGGAATGCTCCCCCCCAGCTTTCCTGAGGGTTCCAAAGCTTCTCCTGTTCCCACCCCACGGATGCTCCCCCAGCTTTCCTGAGGGTTCCAAAGCTTTTCCTATTCCCACCCTGGGAATGCTCCTCCAGCTTTTGTGAAAGTTCCAAAGTTTCCCCTGCTCCCAAGAGCTGGGAATGCTCCAAAGCTTCCCCTGCTCCCACCCCACTGCTCCCCAGAGCTGGGAGTGCTCCTCCAGCTTTCCTGAAGGTTCCAAAGCTTCCCCTGGCTCCAGGAGGAGCTAGGAATGTTCCCTCAGCATTCCCAAGGATTCCATGCCATGCCATGCCATCCCAACCCACCTGTCCTTCTGGCACACAAACAGGTTGAAGGCGTTCTCTGCTCCCAGGAAATTGTCGTCATCCAGGATCTCCACGGCACTCATCCAGTTGGGATTGAAATCCCGGGCAATCTGGAAGGGAACAGGAGACAACAGTGTGTCCAGGTGGGCCGGGCTGGGATCCAGCATCCTCATCCCACCAAGATTTGGGAGCAAAGCAGGCTCCAGTCTGGCCCTCCCTGCTCCAGAAAGCAGGAAAGGCACCAAGTGCCTCCTGGAGATGATCCTGGTCTGAGTGGCCCTGGGAAAACATGGAGAAGGCTGTGCCAAAGCCACTCCCAGGGATTTAAACCCCCAGACTGCGGCTACACAGTTCCAAGTGGACTCCAGGAATTCCAGATGGCACTTGCCCTGCTCCCAAGGGTTGGGGATACTCCCTCAGCTTTCCTGAAGCTTCCATCCCATCCCAGCCCACCCCTGCTCCTCCCTGGACAATCCATCCCACGGGGATCCCCGCAAATCCTCCCCTCCTCCCCCCCGTTCCCGGCACCGCTCCCACACCTCCTCGAAGTTCCCTTCCATGGGTTTGTACGCCAGGAGCAGCACGGAGCGCATCAGGTCTCCCACCAGGATGAAGTCCCCCTTGGTCTTCAGGTAGAGGGCCATGATGTTGTTGTAGTGGTTGCACTCCGTGCGCAGCTCCTTCTCCGCCGTCCACTCGTACAGCCGCACCTGCGGGAGCGGGACACGGATCGGGATGGGATGCTCCAGAGAGCCGGGATGCGCTCCTCCAACACCCGCCCGGACCTCCCCGGCCCTCACCGTGCTGTTGATGCTGGCCAAGAGCTTCCCGTTGAACTCCACCATGGAATACACGGCTCCCTTGACCTCCTTCTCGGCCAGGCTCTGCAGCTTCCCTGGAATAAAGCCGGGAATCGCTGGGGGCTTCATCCAAAGGGTGGGAAGTCAAGGGGACGGCCCTGAACCTTCCTGCCTGAAAAACTCGCTCAGAGGGACACAAGTGACGTGGGAATGGGGGAGAGATGACACGGGAATGGGGGGAAAAGGGACACGGGAATTTGGGGGAAAAGGGACACGGGA